ATAATTGTTTTTGCACACATAGATAGTAAAACTAAATAAAAATAATGATAAATTCAGAATGTAGCTTTCTTGAGAAGGTGAGGACACAGGAGGCAATGGGGAGGGACATGTATTTTTTGTTGTTAATCTTCACCTGAAGATATCTTTTCACTGAATTTTAGAGACAGTGGAAGGGAGGAGGAGAGAACAGCGAGAGAAACATTGATTTGAGAGAAATACATTGCTTGGTTGCCTTCTGCATGCCCCCATCAGGGCATCGAGCCTGCAACAACTGAGGTATGTGCCCTTAACCAGAATAAAACCTGGGATCCTTCAGTCCTCAGGCCAATGCTCTAGCCACTGAGTGAAACCAGCTAGGGCAGAGTAACACCTGTTTTTGATTTTTGGGTTCTTTCTTCTTCAGGATTATTTTGAACTAGATAGAGGCCGGGTGACTGAAATACGTGCATGGGTAGGGTCCCTAGGCCTGGCTGGTGATCAGGGCCAATTAGGGCCTTACTTCACCTGTCTGCCAGGCTGCTGCTGGCCAGGGCCTTACTAAAATTAAAAATGGACTCAGTTGCCCCCCAGGCTCTCTCTACACAGAAGAAAGGCCTGAAGAGTGCCATTAGCAATGTGTTGCCACCTCAAGGCTTCTAGATGTTAGGTTGGAGGAAGGATAAGGAAAGAGTCATTCCAGTTAGTAAGGTTGGAGTTGAAGAAGACGCTGTGGCAATGGACATGGTGAGAGATGACACGATTGATGCCTGAGGTAGTCCTTGTGGACAAAGAAGCTATTTCCAGAAGACTTTCCTTTGTTTGATGTACCAGGCTCTGTTTTATTTTTTATCTTTGTTGTTGGAAGTATTACAGATGTCCCCCTTTCCCTCTCTTTGATCCCCTCCTCCGCACCACTTCCTTATATCTGCCCTGGTATGTTTTTAGGAATAGCATCTTCTTAGTAGTGTGTCTGCTAAGTGGTTCTCTGGACTTGCTGAGAAGCTGATGACCAATCAGCGCCTCTGGAGTTGTCATTCTGACATCTTGGCAAGCACTCAAAGAAGCTGAGAATGGAGGGGGGACTCAATCGCTACAGAGACAACAGTCCTAGAGAGAAGGGTAGATATGAGCCTGACTGGTGTCCTATGTGATATGAAGCTGCGGCTGCTATACATCTCCTATTGCTGCCTCTGGAAATGTGGATTGCATTTATTCTGTGTCTGTGACAGCAGGTAGGTTTGGCATGCATGAGGTATTTTGCCCCATGAGTGCACATATTGAAAAGAACTGCACCTGAGAAGTTTTACTCAGTTCACTTCGTGAGCCACAGGTCCTGGTTTAAATGGTGAAATCCTGAACTTCTGTCTTGAGCTTGTTGCTATTATTGTATTACACGTGGGATTCCTTGGAGAGTGGTCAGACTTTGGAGTATGTGGGAAGTGTGAGTGTCTCTGGAGCCTAATGGTGGAACAGGACTAGTCTAGGATGACTTGTCATGAATCACAAGGCAACATACCCATGCCCTGGTGTAGTCTTCTCCACATGACTATGGCCATCTCTCTGACTCACGTTTGAACAATAGGATGTGTTGGGAGTGACACTGCATGACTTCTAGTGCTAAGTCCCATTACACCTTACATCTTCTGCTTGAGCCTTTTCAAGGGGTCTCTGTGGCAGAAGCCACCCCAAACCCCTGAGATCTCTGTGATTTGAAGAGGTCTAAGACAACCATGAAGGTCATGTGAAGAGAGAAATAACCAGCCAGCCCCCAGCTGTTTCAGCCAGCGCAAGTGAAGTATCAGACATGAGGAAAGCATCCATCAGAAAACTTCACTTCCCACTGCAATTTGATTAAGGCCACATAATATGCTACCCATAT